ACCTAGCATCAACCAATCCACATGGGTGCTGGTTAACAGAGAGTCTACTCTGTACACAGGCAGGGGCGGCTCAACCCATTACATAAAGTAAGCATTTGCAGTATAGTTGATTTTGTCCAGGGGCGCTCTTGGGGGAAAATAGACTTTGACATATGCGAGTTGTACTTACTGGGATGTATAGTTCACCTACAATCAAAGAGCATTCTGAACTCCACCAATGATGGAATTGAACCAAATATGGCACACAGAACTCCCACGACGAATAGAAAATATATATCAGTGATTTGTTGGGGGGGGGGGTCAAAATACTGTTTGCTTACCGTTGAAAGTTACCTAGGGCTGCCTCTGTACACAGGAGACAACAGTCAGAATTGTGGGTGTAGTTTCCCAGCATGCCTCATATCCATGTCATCTCAGTTCTCAAATTCTGCTCTTGGGAGAATCACAATGATCTAGAAGATTTGTGGCGAGCTTAAGGAGGAGAGGGAATTGGCTTGCACCCAGACCTCAGTGAGCTTTGTTCCCATTGAAATCTGTGGAACTTGAGTTAAGTCACAGCTCACTTGTTGGGATCCAGATTATGTTGCCATTCATTGGATTCCAGCCCATTATGAAACCATCCAAATATTGTAATTATAGCTCTTAAATCTGTTGCAAGTCTTTGTTCCCTGGTATATTATGTAAAACAAAAATTAGATATGTAAAACAGGAATAGTTGATATGGTATTTTGAATAGTTATAAATCAGGCAGAGTGGTTTTAACTATTGTGGAAATCTGGTGGTTGGGGAGGAAGCCCCCTCCTTTTTACAGTAGCATAGTTAATTAGTCCTTCAGAACTAATTTGGTCTCGTAAATTGTTTATTTTTACAAAGCAAATGTCAGAAGAAATTGGAATGGTTATTGACAGGACAGAGAAAAACTTTTAAAAGCCAAAAAACATTGAAACATGGGTTAAGGGTTTGCCATTTTCTTCCCAAGCCATTCTGGTATGCATTCATTACAGCACATATGTGGCAGCCACTGAGAGAAGGGAACCAGCTGGCTGTCAAAAAATTACTGTTGGCACCGTTTTTCTTGTCTTGACAAGGCTACAAGCTGCCTTCACAGATGGAGTAATAATGGGATGCCAGTTGTGGTCAGAAGAAACTCTATCGTGCGTTCTTCCTTTGATGGGTATAATCTGGGACGGTGCCGAGTATTCTCCAGTTTCCCCAAATACTAATGTTCAGCACTCAATGTTGCCTTGTCCTCTCGTGATTCTTTTCTCTTTCGGATAGTTTAGGTGATCATAGCTAATCAAGAATCACTTGTCGAGTGGAAAGATGCCACAATTTACATAGCCAATCAATCAACAACGCAATATTAAAAAACACTATCTTAAAGAATGCCCCCTTCTCCCCCCCCCCAAATAGAAAAACAGAAAGCTGCTGCTGAAAACATATTGTGAGATTATGTACTCCGCTCTATTTCTAGCCCCTTTCATAGTGCCTGCATTGCATTACTAAATCCCAGTTGGAGTATTTGTCCTTAAATGCCTTCAAGTCATCTTCAATTTGTGACACCCTATGAATGAGAAATCTCCAAGCCACCCTTTCATCAACAGATCTGCTCAGATCTTACAGGCTTCTTTGATGGGATCTACCTATCTGTAATGTGATTTTCCTTTTTTACTGCTGCTTTCTATCTTACTAGGTATTATTATCTTTTCTAGTGACTCATGTCTTCTCATGATATGACCAAAATAGAGTAGTTACCTTGGCTTCTTAGGAGAGTTCTGGCCTGATTTGCTCTAGGGCAGTGGTTCTCAACCTGGGGTCCCCAGATGTTTTTGGCCTTCAACTACCAGAAATCCTAACAGCTGGTAAACTGGCTGGGATTTCTGGGAGTTGTAGGCCAAAAACCTCTGGGGACCCCAGGTTGAGAACCACTGCTCTAGGGCCTCTTCATTTGCCTTTTTAGCACCTGTAGAAAACTCTCACCTAGCACCACATTTCAGATTAATAGATTTTCTTCCTCTTAGCATTTTTCATTGTCCAGCTTTCAGAAATAGGGAATATGATGGCATGGACAATCCTAACTTCAGTATTCAGTGATAGATTTTTACACTTTAGGATCTTCCCTAGTTCCTCTTTATTTATTTATTTATTTATTTATTTATTTATTTATTTATTTATTTGCGGTATTTATACCCTCTCTTTCTCAGCCATATGGCGATTCAGGGTGAGTTGCAGATTGGTACAATTTGATGTCAGGCATTCATAAAAGTGCCATTAAAAACAATCAACATCACAATATAAAACATATATAAAAACCATTACAGTATATAATCATCTGTGTCATCTTGTTAAAAAACATTATTCAGTAACATCATCTGGTCATTTCATGTTCATCATTCATAGTTCCATGTTATCTATTTTGCTGCATCTTCAAAAGATTGCTCAAAGAGCCAGGTCTTTACTTTTTTTTTTGGAAAGTCAGGGGGGAGGGGCTGATCTAATATCCCTGGGGAGGGAGTTCCATAGCCCGGGGGCACCACTGAGAAGGCCCTGTACTTCGTCTCTGCCAGTCGCACTTGCGAGGCAGGTGGGATTTAGAGCAGGGCCTCTCCAGATGATCTTTAGCTCCTAGATGGTTCATAGGAGGTGATACGTTCAGACAGGTAAGCTGGGCTGCAATCTTTTAGGAATTTACACGCTGCCCTTCCAAGTCTGAATCGTCTTCTGGTTTCTTGACTGTCACTGCCATTCTAATTAATGCCTGACCAAAAATCTGGAAAACATTTGACTTATTGAATTGTCTTCATTGTGTACCTTAGAGAAGACTAGAGTAAGACCACAGAAGCATGTATTGAGTTTTTCAACACATAGGTAAATCCCCTTGATTCAATGGCCTATTCTAGTTGGGACTGACACTAGGAGATAGGCTGCAAAATAAAATTCTGCAAAATAAATTAACTATGACTTTTCTCAGTGGTCACACTGGATGCTATTTTGTATTGCTTGAGTGTCCCTCAGAAGAATAGTGACATTGGATTATTTGTTCTGATGCCATGAAAAAAACATTAAAGAAGAGGGGTGAAAAAGGCTAGTCACTTTCATCCTGCCCCCAACACACTTCTCTGTGGTCTAAATTTGAGAGGAAAACTAACAGCTCTGGCAGAACTGGAAGCAGTTTTGACAGAATCCTTGTCTAAACTTTCAGCCTGTTGTATATAAGATGAAATCTGTGGAATTTCTGAAAGTCTACACTAGAAACATGAGGGCAAGATCTCACGAATCCATTCCAGCTGGACTTACCTTTTTCCTTTGTTAGTAATTACTGGTCACTAATCTTTTCTAGGATTGTTGGGACTTTTTAGTGCTACATCCATCTGGAAGGCTAGTCCGGTCTGTAATGTGAAATGAAATTAGTATAAATAATACACAAGTTGAGTGCTATTTGCATTGCTAAAAGTTATATTTTAAAAGAAGCATGTTTAGTTCAATATATTATTTATTTATTTATTTATTTATTTATTTAGAGCTTTTATAACCCGGTCTTCTCGACCTCTGAAGAGGGACTCAGGCTGGCTAACAGCAGAAAAATCATACACAAATAGAATAAACATAATAGCATCGTAATACATTAATACATAAAATACATTAAAATACAGATCATGCAATTACAAAAGCCAGGTTGTCAAAGTAAAATCACAAATTCATCACCATCCGCCAGTGTGGTCAGCCGTTATTGACTCGATCATCATTCTGCAAATGCTATATTCCAAAGCCAAGATTTTCCCAGCTTTCTGAAAGTCAAGAGGGAAAGGGCAGTTCTAATCTCCAACGGGAGAGAGTTCCAGAACTTAGGGGCCACCACCGAGAAGACCCTGTCCCTCGTCCCCACCAGACACGATTGCAAAGGTGGTGGGACCGAGAGCAGGGCCCCTCCAGAAGATCTTGACAACCTTGATGGTTCATAGGGGAGAATCCGTTCGGACAGGTAAACTGGGCCGGAGTCGTTTAGGGATTTATAGGTCAGCACCAGCACTTTGAATTGTGCTCGGAAGCTAATTGGCAGCCAGTGGAGCTGATGCAGCAGAGGAGTAGTATGCTCCCTGTACCCCGCTCCTGTTAGTAATCTGGCTGCCACTCGTTGGACTAGTTGAAGCTTCAGGGCAGTCTTCAAAAGCAACCCCATGTAGAGAGTGTTGCAGTAGTCTATATGGGAGGTAACCAGAGCTTGGACCACCGTGGCCAAGTCAGACTTAATCCAAATAAGAGAAAACTGTTCTGTTGTTGTTAGATGATAGTGATGATGATATATTGACTAATCAATATGCCATATCGTCATTGCCCCATTGAGTTCAAGACTTATGCTCACATAAGTAAGCTAAAAAACGCTGCACCCCTTCTTAATAAGTTCCCCAAAATAACAACCACCACCCATCATTCAGCAAGATTGATGTAAAGAATAGTGGGTTTGTTAAATAGCGAATATTTTAAATTAGAGGTGTCACAAATTGCTGTTGGGACCCTTGAACCCTGCATGCAAAAACATGTTCTCTGCCACTGACCTTAGCAGCCAGAGTGTCTTGAGTGTGAATGAGGAGGTTAGATAGTAGTGCAGCAATTCATTTGGGCAGGAAACATTTCAGATGCTATACCTTTGGTTCACTGACTGGTTCTTGTAGCCAGCAACTTATTGCTATGCTCGCAGTGGTTGAGGAATAGCTAGTTCTTTCTTTACTTTACTTCTTCTAGCCTGCAGGGAAATTCCTTGACTAAACCAATTTGATACCTAAGCTGCTACATTAAGTTTTAATCTGATAGGTGCTGGTATTGTTTTTTATCATTGCATTCTTATTTGGTGAATTTTGAAATTCTAATTCTAATAATTTTATTTTCACAATATTTTATGGTTAATCATACTACTAATCATTTACTTTTAGAGAAAAGTGAGGATATAAATATAAATGAATCAGTATGTTTACATAAGTGTCAATTTGGTTTTTCCTTAGGAGCACCTAGAGCATGTTTCACCATTTTCCAAGCTGGACCTTGAAGGGAATTTTAATTTCACAAGTAGTCCAAGGTGTAGTGATGCTGCTGTGCAGTGTTTTGGAGCGTATTGCCAGCAGGGGAGGTTAAAAGGTGAGTGCTACATGCATCCTACTGTAAGTTTTGCTTTTAACAACAACAACTTCTATTGCTACTTCTTCTCCCTTTTTATTATATTGTTTTCAGGATCTCGCATCAACTCAGAAGGCAATTAATTAGAGTAAGTGCAGAGTTTGTAAGGCATGACAATTTCAGGGAAGGTGGGAAAAGCTGACTCAGAACCAATGAATTACATTCTTGGCAAACAAATCCTACTTTACATACAGTTTCTAGTTTGCTGCCCCAACACTTAAGGCAGGATATAAAACAGTTTGTAGGTGACAAGTGTATCTGTAGATTTTATTTCCTATAGATCTTAAATCATTGTATTGTTCTTAAATGTACATTTTTGGTTCTGGTAGGACACTTAATATTTTTATAATTGTATAAATATATGCCAGTTCCTTGACTTTAATGGTGTTTTGTGTCTGTTGTTTAAAGGAATCAATGTATGTAACACCTTACAATTCTTCGAATCATAGCAAGACTTAAAAATAATATACACATATGAACCACACTTATTTATAATTAGAATAATTCAGAGTCCATTTGCCTAGAGGGGATTTGTATATATTTATTTGTTCACCAAAAGAAAAGCACAATTGTTTCGTGTTGAATTTTTTTAAAAGATAAAACTACTGAAAATAATTAAGTTTATCATACATGGGACCATGATCCAAAGAGGGAAATCAGTTTAAATAACCCAAAGTTGAATGATATCTATTTTTTGTCAAATGCTGTGAAGTTGTAGTGGTAAATGTTGTGGACGAGAAAGGTTAAGGGTTTCAGCTGTGAACTGTGTTCTCAATCTGCTGCTTTTCAGTCATTCAATGACCCATGTTTGTAAATTGGTGTTTAATTCAGTTAAAAAAGGAATTTCAAATCTAGTCTATGTAAGTAACCTACAACAGCCTATTCTGAACAATTTTGTGTTGTCTTTTGCAGATAGAAATATTTATATCAGTTCTGACTTATACTACTTGATACAGTCCCAGTAGCATAAGCAAAAGCAATGCAAATCCAAGGCCGTTCTGAAGTAGCAATACTACAAAGTGTGGAGCGATATTTTGGAACATATTCTTCTAACTAACACATTTACTCCAAGATGATGATGATGATGATGATGATAGTGATAGCTTTATTTATATCCTGCCCCCTCTCCCCAAAAGGGGCTTCCTGTTATGTTATGAACAGGAAGCCCCTGGATGTTGGGTAGATAACCAGGAGTGACTTCTGGCCCAGTGCAGGTTATAGAGCCAGTTGTAGATAATCTCTCAGTGAATATAACTTTAGTCCCTGTGGGTTCAGGGATAATAGATACTTTTCAGTTTATATATGCCAAAGATGTGGAAAAGTTCCTTGAAGGATTTAGACCTATCATGTGTGAATTGGATTTTTGCCCTTTTTTTCAGTAAGGGTAAACAGAGGAAACTGAAGGACCAGAGAAATATGAGGATAGTTCGTGCGTTTCAGCAAGAAAATCTTTCTAAAACAATTTGTTTTGCAACTGTTGGACCACCTAGCCTCTAGTATTTCATTTTTGTGCAAGGTACTGGAATATGAGGTGGATGCTCTGCTCCAAGGGGATCATGCTTCAATCTGGCTTCAAGTTGGGTTCATGCATGAAGGTGGCTTTGGTTGACTCTGAAGACATGTCATTGATATAATCTAGAAATTGAATGGAGTAGTGTTGTCTGTGTTGTTTCTGCTGTGCCTCTCTGAAGTTTTCAGTATAATTGAACATGATATTCTGGACTGCCTCTTGATGGGATGTTGTGCTGAAGGACACCAAATGTAGTGCTGAGGGTCCTTGTTCAGCGACTTGGCCATTGTCTCATATATGGTCTCTGGTCTCTGTTGTGTATGTGTGTATAATTTAGATGAAGTGTGTGGAAGAGGTTGCATGCAAATTTGAGTTTCAGTTGTATTGTCAAAGGCTTTCATAGCTGGAATCGCTGACTACACAATGTTTCAAACTATATATTTTTTAGATTTACACCATAAGTGCATTAGGTCCCATATTTATATTTTTAATGTACCAAACATGCCAGGTTTGTATGGAAATGTGACACTATTTCCTGTGCTGGTCAATGACCGAAATAAATGTTTTGATTTGATTTGCATTAGGTCCCATACTGGGAGAAAAGTGGAGTAAAAATTAGTTAACTAATTAAATACATTTTAAAAATCAATATGCTCCACAGCTATCAATTGTAACAGAAGCTGTACAAATCACAGATTTCCCATCATGGTTTGTTTATTGTGCTGTCAAGATTGGCAGGAGCTGGAATTCTGGCTTGTTTCTTCTCTGACAAGGCAGAGAAATAATCCATTGTTTGTTGAAGAATTAATTCTTTGACTTGTAAGGGGAAAGACAAATTGGAATTTGGATGTCTTGATAAACAAATCATGTATGGAAGATTTGTTTAACCAGGTCTGCCGTACATATAATGACTTTTCAAACATTCCCAGTTGTTGAACCAGTATGGTAGCAAAAGTGGATGTTTTCATTCCAAAAGTTAACATGTTTCTGCATGAGTGAGCAGGAACCACAAAGTGAAGGTTTAAAATGTTTTAATCATGTAAGATCCTCGTACTGACATTTTTTTCATTATAAGTCTTCAGTTGTCTGTTCTTGATACTGCTCTTTATTTTGTAGATGCAAGGATAAAGATTAGAATATCAAATATTGCCAGTGTTTTCTCCTTGTTGTCTCTAATACATTTATCTTGTATAATTTATTTTCACTTTGTTGATTGTAGCATTTTAAGTGCCAGCAGAGACTAATCAGTGTGTTGGTGATGCGAGAAACACCAGTAATTGTATTCCTGTTTTCACTCTTTGATAGATGCTGTACAATAGAAAGTCAAACATGTATATGGCAGTTTTCCCCACAATCTCTTTCAGAATCTCTCCAAAATGCCGGCCAGTGTTCCAGACCAATAATGAAAATTTAAATAGGTTAGAAAAACAAGACATCGCACTGGAAAGCAAATATAGTTGAACCAGAAATAGAACAATCTTTGGATTTGAAATTAGGATTTATGTAACTGGAAAAAAATGATTTATGCACTGTGTCCATATAGCAGCCTGGTCCCAAATCATGTTGTTACATGCCTATGGGTCTCTGTCTTTCCACTCTTGTTATACATTCTAGGATCATGATGTATAAATAACACATTTATGGTCTCTCTTGTTAAGTATGGAACTTTAGCTTTCACCATATGTAATATGGAAAGAACAGAACTAGACAAAGCAGTGGGAAGATAACAGAGTGTGGTATTTGACTTTGAGGAGGGAGAATTGAAGCAGTTAAATGATAGCTTGACAAGAGGAGGCAAGGAACCAGTGAACATTCTTTGAAAAGGACAAAAGATAATCAAATTGTTGAGCTATAAGAGCAAGACAGTGCAGGGTAGAAAAGACATTTTAGATGAGAGACAGGTGGCCCAGAAAACAAAATATCAGACCAGACAGGATAAAGTGAGAGAATGCAAAAGAGTTTTGTGTTGCAGTGTTGGAGAGAAAAAATAATCCCCAAATAATGGGCTTGCTTGAAACCTTATAGGTTTCTTAATTGCATTATAAAATTGAATTACAGCAGTAACCTCAGTGTGAGGCATTCAGGCCTAGCAGTATTGGAACATACCAAACTCAATAGGAAGCTGAAATATTTCATTGTTGCCTTCCTTTTGTGTTCTATAAATGTACACAAACTTATGTAAGCCTCTACCAATTTGTTTGGTGTTCTTAAAAGGAAACTAACATTCTGGTAAGAAGTTATGATATATATTAAATATATATTTTGCTTTCCCTATCATGATTTGAAGAATGCTTTAAAATCCAATACTGAAATGCCAGCATTCAGTCTATTTTTATATGAATAATCTAATACTTGCCACCCTGAGGTCCTCAGTTTGTTCCTCTGCCAAGATGTTGTGCAGAGACAGCATTTTTTAAAAAGTAGAGCTTCTTCAAAGAAGTCTTACTTTCAGTGCCAGCAATTTCACATTTCTGTTGCTGAAAGATTACTGGAATCTGCTTCATCAGAAGGTTTCTAACTTCTAGAAAATTATAAGACTGCTGAGCAACTCACCATCATTTCCATGACAAAGGAGCAGGCTTTTGTTCTAATGGCAGCCTTAAGAAATGGATCTGTGTAATGAATCTTACCTTAAGTAAAACCACCTACAATTGGAAATATTGCTTCCTTTTACGACTGTCTACCAAATAAATAATTCTTGTTTATTAATCTTGTCTTCCTTGTCCAAATAATTGATTACATTTAAATTATACATGTGTGCACATCAAATCACCTTACAAATGACTTCTTTGGGTATTTGAGATGTTGAAGAGAAGTTAGAATTTACTTCTTAAAAAGGCTATCAAGAAGAAGATCAACTCATTTGCAATGTGATGCTGGAGGAGAGTTCTACAGATACCACAAACTGTTCAAAGGACAAATGAATGCATTTTAGAGCAAACCAGGCCTAAGATGAGATACAGATACAGTATATATTATTCATGTATATGTCTAGAAATTTTAGTCAGAGGATAGATCCCAGAAATCTGGGTCAACGTATCCACTAGTCCAGTGGTTCACAGCCTGGGGTCCCCAGATGTTTCTGGCCTTCAACTTCCAGAAATCCTAACAAATGGTAAAGTGGCTGGGAGTTGTGGGCCAATAACATCTGGGGACCCCAGGTTGAGGACCACTGCACTAGTCAAAGGCAATAATGTATCTAAACATCCCCATCTCTGAGTAGAGTGACAAAAGACAAGATCTTAGTCTGTCCCAGGAGACCCTAAAAGAAGCACTAACCTCCACTGTTGGGCGCCATTGTTGGCCTTTTTGAATGCTTGGGGAAATAACAGCATTGGTTAGGAGCAGCTGACCCCAACGTGGCTTAGCTCTTTATTTATTTATTTATTTATTTATTTATTTATTTATTTATGACATTTCTGCCCCGCCTTTCTCCAACTCGGAGATGACTAAACATGCAGAGTGAACTTCGACTTTTCCACGGGCCATCTCAAAATCCATAATTGTGTCCCTCAAACCTTCTGAGGTCGACTTATATATATAGGTATATGCAATAACTGGACTGAGACTATCATACTTTGGGCATATGAAGAGATAGCATGACTTACTGGGAAAGTGGAAGACAGTAGGAAAAGAGGATGGCCACACCACAGATAAATAGACTGAACCAATGAAGTTGCAGCCTTGAGTTTGCAAAATTTGAGCAGAGCTGCTGATAACTGAAGTTCCTGGTGGCATTTCATTCATTAGATTTCCATACATTGAAGCCAATATGATGATCCATAAAGATACAAACATTTTAAGTATAAATCTACTAATGGTTCTTTATACCCTTTCTAGAAATATATTAATATGGTGTTTCTTTCTCTTCTTCAGTCCCTCCATTCTGTTTCCCCTTCTATCTGGTCGTTGCTCCCCTTACCTCTATTCATTCAGTGTTCCATGTGATTGAATTTTCTGTGGATTTTGTCCTAAATATTGTTTTGGCATGCCTAAAAACTTAAGTTTGGCCCAAGTGTGCAAATACAACTCTCCTGTGCATGACTAATGTATACTTGGTTTTGGCTTCAGCAGCATAATCCCAGGAAAACAACAAATCAGCATTTGAACGATTTTTGTTTCTCATTGTGCGTTGTAGCTGACATAAATATTTTTTAAAAATAAGCAACTGTGCCTTGAATGTATACCTCTGCTGATGAAAATTGGCACCCCACTGATAAATCGATTAAAGCCGTGGGTGCTTTTTGTTCCATTTTAAATTGTTACAATTTTAAAAATCCTAATTTTAAACACACAGCCTTTACCAGCTGTAACTTTATCAGACTCTAGTAAATTTTCCAGATGTCATTGATTCTCTGATGCATGCAGGGAATTTTGTTGTGGAAAGAGAGGCCAGCTTCCCTTCCCGCTTCATTGTTTGCAATGACCAAAACAACAAAGGGTTGTAAATCATTTTTGAATTTTTATTACAAATTAATTGCAGTGATCAACAAAAGCATCTATATCTATTTTTGCATGCATATATTGTTTAGCACTTGGCATGTTTGGAACAAGAATCCCTGTTTATCCAAAAATAATAACCTCACTTTTGGATCACTTTAGAAGAAGAAGAAGAACTTTATTTTTCTACCCTGCCTCCATCTCCCCGATGGGACTTGGGGTGGCTCACTGTAGTCCCAAATCAAATTGATGGATTATAAATAACAAATAACTGATTAAAATTTTATCTCAGGATAAGTCTTATCCTTTTAAAAGCCTTGTTTTTTGTGGCCCTGGAAACTAGGACTCGGAGCAATAGGTTTAAATTACAGGAAAAGGGTTCCACTTCAACATTTGGAAGAATTTCCTGACTGTGAGATCTGTTCAACAGTTGAACTCTCTGGCTCAGAGTGTGAAGGAAGATCCTTATTTGGTGGCTTTTAAATGGTGGCTGGATAACCATCTGTTGGGGGTGCTTTGATTATGCTTTTTCTGCGTGGACTGGGTAGCCTATGTGGTTTTCTCCAACTCTATGATTCTATAATCTATGTTGGGATAGGTATAGCGGTGCTGTTGGTTGTGATGGGTTACTTTTCCAAAACACCACTGCATAAAGTTGGAACTAAAAACCTCTGTGGAAGTTGAGTTTCTTTTACAATAATATGCTAAAAAATAAAACAACCCAGACTTTCTGCAGAGATGAAAAAACCAAGAGAGGATGAGAACGACAGGAGGGATGGTATTGTGTGGATACTTCATAAATAGTGAGCAACGTGAGAGAAAGAGCATGGCAACCCCTCCCCTCGAAAATGTGGAAGCACACCCAGCAGGATTGATTCAGCAGCATCTGCATCAAAGCGCTTTGTGGAAATTGAACTCATCCAATACATTCCTCATTGTCATCCTGATGCTGTGTTTGTGCTGATTACAATTGTGCTATTTAGACTATACAGATTGTTTAGAGCTGGTTGGGAAAGAATGGTCTCATCCTTTGTCCTAGGCATTAGCTAATCAAGGCCTTTCTTTGCCTCTTGGTTTTTTGTGAGCCTGGTAGCAGGGATCTGAGCATGAATCTGTAGTACTCAAAATATCCCTTGAAAGCTGAACCTTCTGTATCAGCTATATCTTAACCAGGATACTAGTTCTGTTAACACAATACTCGGTGATTATTTCTCTAGATGTATCTCATAGTTTTCCTGTTCTTTTGCAAGGAATTTAATGGGGCAGTCTCATCTTCTAATGTGGCATGTGAGTGTAACTTAACTTAGATGATTGCATTTGTGAAGGAAAATATATATAGAGAGAGGTTATTTTGAAGATGCTTGGCAAGCTAACCTGACTGCTGAAGCTCCATCTAGGAGTGTTGCAGGAGATTCCTGGGCATGCTGTCATGTTTTCCTCACTGAGCCACATTAGAGATTCATTTTTGTTTGTTAAATTTTTGCCTAGCTTTTCCCCAAGACAGAAAAAAGTGTGTAGATACAGCCCTAATGGTGTTCTGTTTATGGAGCCCATAAAAACCTGAGGCTAACCTCAATTTGTAGATAAGGTACAGAACAGGTAAACAGCTCAGGCATACAAGAATACAGTCGGTGCTGCCAGTATGTTTTATGCTTGAATGTTTTATTCAGGGCTCAGTTTAAACATAAGTTTTGTGCAGAGAGGGAAAATATCCATTGAAATTAATAAAACCAATACAGAACTTCTCCATAAGGAGAATTTCAATGTGTTTATCTTTAATTATGCATGTGCAAACGGGAAAATCAGGTCTTTTGAAAATCCTAAGGGATGTATTTTCTGCTTGGTGTAATTTTAATTCTAGTTTAGTTAGTTTGGAGATTTGTATAATTTCTCACTAGCTTCAAACGACATGTGGGCATGCCAGTTCAGTTCTTGATAGCAAATAGATGTAATATATTTGCTGGTACCATAGTTTATTAATTTCCCCCCTTATTTTCAGAGCTTCATGCATCTGAGAGTGGCATGGCTGAAAATGAAGTCCCACCCCCATTGCCTCCACATCCGAGTGACGAGCTGCTCACAGATTATAATCACAGGTTTGAAAATGTTTACCATGTATAATGTTATTTCTAGAAAGCATTAGGAATGCTTTTTCTTTATGTAAAAACATCATGCTTCATGTTGCTGAATTTGCAACAGAACATATTCATATTTTGCTTAGATGTACAGCTTCCCCAATCTTTAAGGCTTGTTATAACTATACTAACTGTACCCGCAACACATTGCTGTGGCCAATCTTCCCTCCCTCTTTTTCTCCTTTCTTTCTCTCTTTCTCTCCCTCCCTCTTTCCTACTCTCCTTCCTTCCCTCCTTCCTTCTCTACCTTGTTCCTTCCTTCCCCTCCCTTTTTCTTTCTCTCTTTTCTTCCTTCTCTACCTATTCTTGGACTGTAACTCCCAGCAGTCCTCCTGATTGATCTGTCTACCTGTTATCTATCTATCTATCTATCTATCTATCTATCTATCTATCTATCTATCTAATCTATTTATCTTATCTATCTGGAGGATTACTGGGAGTTGCAGTCCAGGAATAGGAAATAGAAATATGTATGGATTGGGATGCCCTTAAAGAAATCCAAGGAGAAAAAAGCTTGCAGCTTGGAAGCAGTGCATTTGGAGCGTCCTTCTCCCCTAAAGGGCCTGGTCTAGGGGATGCTGGGAGCTGTCGTTTTCTCGCGTGTATTGTATCATCATTTAACTTTTTGGGGTTTTTAAGTCCTTTCCGCTGGTTTTTTTGTGAGGGGTTTATGAGTGATGGTCACTCGTTGGTCTGATAGGGGTGTAGTGTCCAAATTTGGTGTCAATTCGTACAGTGGTTTTTGTGTTATGTTAATCCCACAAACGAACATTACATTTTTATTTATATAGATAGTGATAGGTACATGGGTTTTTTTTAAAAAAAGAATGTCTTTCTTGTATCTGCAACCCTATGTTGTCATTAATTGTCATTCTCATATTCATGGGGATGTGGTGGGAGGAAGCCATGTTGTGTTGTTATTATTTTTAAAATTATAATTAGTAAAGATGTTTTACAAATGTATAGTTTGTGACCTGGTCTTCAACTTATCCCAGTTTCTTTATTTTTATTTCTTTATTGGAGTCCTTCATTTTATTAACTTTGAGTGCTCAAAGTCATGTACAAATAAAAAAATAGAATGCATATTGTACAAAAATTGGAACGATGTTTTGCACAGTAAAACTAAGGCTTAACATTAAAAACAGCAGTTGCATCAATTATTGAAAGCTATGCAGAACAGTATCCCCTGCTCTAGCCAGCTAAATAGTAACTAAGAATAGAGCTTAGCATTTCTGAGAAAAGAGCTTTAAAGCTGGCATCCAACTTCATAAAAAAATACCCTGGATTGAGTGCCCAGCACCTTCACCTTGTTAGAAAATAGAGTATGTACCAGGTGTTCAGATCACAAAAACAAATTTCAGACAGGCTCACAAAAGGGAAGATTGTCTGGCATAACCTAGTCCCACTTTGTTTAGAGGTTTATAGGTAAAAACTTAGAAACAAATTAAAAGTCACTGCAGGTATTTCAAGACCACTGTAAGGTAAAAAGCTCTGCATTTTACACCAGTTGGAACTTTTTTAAAATTGTAGTCAGTCCCAAATGTGAAGTGGTTAAGAAATGGATCACAGTGGTCAAATTTAGCTTCTCCTTGTTGGGAAATAATGGTTGCACCAGCCCAAGATGGACACTGCTAGCCATTATTGCCACCTGACCAAATCTGAATCTAAAGGACTCTCAAACTGAGTATCAAATACTACCCTAGTCACAGAAAGTACTATTGACTCACGGAACCTTCCATCTATTGATCAACAGGACATTTTATCTTGTCTGGATCAAACCTCAGTTTGTTTTTCCATCAGTGTGGACTCAAGACCAGGAGTTCAATCCAGATAAAAGTGGGAGGGGCGGACCTCTCAAAATGTGATGTCATCACATAGTCAAAAAGAATATTAGAACCTGATTGATAGTGATCAAGAGTGATCAGGAATAGTAAAGACGTCTTCAGTGAAGTTGTTGCCACTGGTTACTTTAAAGGAGCCAGAACAAGGCTGTTTTTCAAAATATTTCTCTCTCTAGCTCTATATCATGAGACCCCAGGGTATCGTACAAGGCATTAGCAATCTCCATCACCCAATTAATTAGCCTCTCTCTGATAGAACTTGCAAGTCAGGAGAGATGAAATGCATGAGGATGGCCTTAGCTCTCCAAGCAATATTTTCATTACCTCTGGCTGAACAGGCTGGACATAACTCCATCCAGTGAAAACTGAATGTGTATTAAGAGTGAATTCCTGGCAAGAGCAAGCTCATAGAGAGCTGTACGTTGTTTTCAGATTTAATCTGGAATTGAGACAGTTGAAAATTTGATCATGAAAGATGAAACATTTCAGATACTTAGTTCCGATTTTGCTGTCATGTGTGCTTCTTTACATATGATAGGATCATAGAGTTGGAAGAGACCTCATGGGCCATCCAATTCAACCCCACTGCCAAGAAGCATGAAAACTGTATTCAAAGCACCCCCAACAGATGCCCATCCAACCTCTGTTTTAAAGCCTTCAAAGAAGGAAACTCCACCACACTCCAGAGCAGAGAGTTCCACTGCTGAACAGCTCTAACAGTTAGGAAGTTCTTCCTCATGTTCAGGTGGAATCTTCTTTCTTGTAGTTTGAAGCCATTGTTCCACATCCTAGTCTCCAGGGCAGCAGAAAACAAGCTTGTTCCCTCCTCCATATGACCCTATGATATCTGTTTTCTTTAACTTAGTGGTGAGATATACATCATCCCAGCACTTTATTTAAAAAATGGGGTAATGATATGTGCAATTCCAGGCCTACAGAACCGGCGGCCCTCCAGGTGTTTTATTCTCCAACTTCCCGAAGTCCTATACAGTCCAAAACACCTGGAGGGTCATAGGTTGTGCAGGTCTGTAAGACATTTCCTGAACAAAAGCAATGTTGGTGCAAACAATAGGCATACAAGAAATGTGACTGACTGCAATGGATACAATACACTTAAAGTGGACATGGTTTAATTACTTCATTTGTATTTGAGCCTTTTCTCTCTCTCATGTGTTTTCCTTCCACAGCTCAATAGCAGATTCAGCAGCATATTTACCAGATCAGCACATCAACTTCAGATCTTTGACACTGGCCAAGCAGACAGAATCAATTAATCTGAAAGCCTCTAAGAGCATGGATCTTGGTAAGGAGAAGTAGTGGGTAGACAGTAATAATCCTTTTTAGCCTCACTTCTTGATTTTGTTTCTGAAATGTATACTGCTTGGAAACAACCTGTTGCTAGAGCCAAGCTTGGCAGAAGTAGAAAAATCTTTGTAGCACTATTTTTTATTTTGAATAGAAATGCCACTTGGCTCTAGAGAACAAAATCTAGAGAGGGTTTTAGCGTCTTGAACTCTGTGCAGTGAAATCAGATTTTAAACATGGAGCATATTGCTTGTTTCAGTGAAGTATAAAAAGGAACATCTTAAATAGAAATACTTCCTTGTCAACAACAAGAAATAATAAAGTTGAGAACTTCTTGGCTGACTTTTGCAGACATGTGATTGGTGGCACCATTGTACTTAGCTAACCGAGCTCTGTGGAATGTATTGAAGTGTGGTTGAAAATAGTTTCCACCCTGTAAAGCATAGCATATAACAATTTCATCTGAAATTGCTTTCTGTGGAGAAAGGTGGCAGATCTTTTGCACACAGTTTCTGTCGGTTGCAGGTGGATATTTCAGCTTGGGCTTGTATTTTATCACCAGCCAGAGGAAATCTTTTTGACAATCAGACTATGTTCAATGCTGCTGTGCTTTCTAGACCTGTCTGTACCATCAGGTTCGGTGCCTCCTACACATTTTGGGCAGAATAACAGGTCACAGTAATTGTCAGCACTGCATGTACTTAGCTTTTTGGAAATGAAACATGTGGCTAAGGTTTTGAGAGTGGTCTCAAGAAGAAAATATGGAAGATTTTGATATCTTAAAGTAGAAGAGTATATTACTATAACTGTATCTCAGTGTTTATTCTCCATCTGCCATGTTTTCATTTAAAAAATCCTAATTTTATGGTGTTATATACCATTGGTACATCATTTGGTACCAATTTTATTTGAGATCATATGCATAAGTATATTTCAATATGCAGTTCCATATATGTTCCCATTCCTCTTTTATTGGACGGCCTATATTGACTGGTAGTCTTAAGCATGTGCAAATAGAACACACTCGGCAATGTAAGAAAAGGTCTTAATCTAAACAGAAAAGCTAAATACTTGTAATGTTTCCATTTTACTTAATGTTTCAAGCAATTGTAAAATGTCAAATTGTAAGAACTGCTTCTTTGGTGGTAACCTTAATGTTACAAATTGTGAACAATGTCTAGTTATACCAAAACATTTTCAAAACCTCCCAGAAAAACCTATATCTGAATTGCATCCAAATAGACACTCCTATTACTGTACTTTAACCTTTGAAAATTTCACCATGAGATCTTCTTGGAATTTGGATAGGGGGACATTGGCCAGCATAACCCACATCACTGCTTATTTTCTACCAGTCCTCACCTGTTCCACCAAATTCTAATTGAAAAGGAATCAATTCCTATAATGTTTACTCTTCCTGAAATTCTGCCAGCTCTTTCCTGCTTTTCTTCTATGGCCATAACCCTTTATGGACATGAATTGAATGTTGTTGTTGTTGTTGTTGTTTTATAAAGTTCTGGTTGACCAGTTTAAATTTCTTACCAAATTGTGTTCTCTTCCCTTAAATTACAGTGGCCTGATAATAAAGCAGTATATTTAAATTCAAACACTTGATAAAGACAGATATCTGCTTTGCCTTGTACCTCTTTACTTTATATGCTGCCTTGATACCCCATGCTATATGCCAGTGGGCCTCAACCTTCCTAATGCCACAGCCCCATAATACAGTTCCTCATGTTGTGGTGAACCCCAAGCATAAAATTGTTTTTGTTGCTACTTCATAACTGCAATTTTGCCACTGTTATGAATCGTAATATAAATATGTGATATGCACACAGAACTCCCATGACCAACAGAAAATACTGGAAGGATTTTGGGAGCATTAACTTTGAGTTTTGTTGTTGTAGCTCATCTACATCCAGAGAGTACTGTGGACTCAAACAATAATGGACCTGGACCAAACTTGGCACGAAAACTCAATATGCCCAAATGTGAACATTGCTGGAGTTTGGGGAAAATAGACTTGACATTTGGAAGTTGTAGTTGCTGGAATTTATAGTTCACCTACTATCAAAGAGCATTCTGAACCCAACCAACAGTAGAATTGGGTCAAACTTCCCACACAGAACCACCATGACTAACAGAAAATACAGTGTTTTCTGGTGGTCTTTGGCGACCCTTCTGACACCCCCTTGCAACCCCCCCAGGGGCCCTGACCACCAGGTTGAGAAACACTACTATATATGATAGAATACTAACATCACCACTATCATCACTTGCCTGTGATGGCTCAATAAAGTTGAGTGGTCCTTTATTGAGTGATCCCTCATTGTATAAGTAGACCTCAATGAAGCTCACAACTTCATCATTAGCTTGCTTGAAATATTGAGACTTTTCACATAATGTGAAGTGGATGATAAAGGTTTCAAGAGTTTCAAAAGAACCACAGTTGAAAGAAATTTGAAACATTTCCTGTCAGACCTAAGGAGCTCTTTGAGTTTGTCAGTCTTCAGCAGATCCTACCCATGAGTTTCAGCTAGTTCTCTCCACAATTGTCTAATGGGAAATGGATAACAGGGATTCTTAGGATTCCGTACTGGTTGCTGAGTTGTGTCTTTGTTCAGTTCATGTATAGAATTGCAATGACCCTCACTGAATTACTGAATGATGGGCAATCTAAAGTAGTCAACATATCTGCAGAACTAGGACATTCAAATTAAAAACAGCAAGAACAAAGTATTTGTAGTTGATATAATTTTTGTTCCACCTGCTTTTTGCTGAATTTTATGTATGCAAATGTTTATTTTGCAAAAGGGAATTCTTCTCCCAGAAGCTTTAAAAAGGGCAGGCGTCAGAGCATGGTGGGGGTGGCAGGATAAAAAGATATGTTTGGTTAAAAATATTTTTCTGGCTAACAAAAATAGATCCTCTCCTAATGCTTTGAAGTTTGCTGACAGCATAAACCAGTTCAAATGTTCAATCAGGTTGCTCAACTGGTGGCATAACTATCTCAGACATGAAGGAATGATACACAAAGTACCTGCATATATATTTTATATTCAGTAATTTTTATAGCCAAAGCCATATGCAAAGGAGATGTGTTCACCACTCCCCATGAACCTTAATTATTTATATACTAAGAATTTGTTTACCGAAACTGGAGAGCTTATGTTGGTATAATTAGATTTTAGACATTCATTCTCTAGTTAACTAACTGGAACTAATCTCTTACTTTCCGTGGTCTAGCTATAAAACAGGGATGAAAGTACCCTTCTTGCAGAAATCCTAGATGTGTAACAATTATGAAGCTCCTTGAACAATCATTATTGATTCCTAAATGCAATGATGAATGAGCACCCTTGTATAATCAGATTAAGGCTCCAATATGCCCGATAATTTATGAAGACAGAAGCTCACGGATGCTAGCAATGGTTTTTGAGGCAAGGACAATGTCTTCAAAATACTGATTAAATTGTGTAGCTTAGTGGGAATTTTAGACAACTAATGAGAGACCACTAAAAAACCATTAAAAGTCTGCCAGTTTAGTTTTAAAACATGTTAGCCATTTTCAATCGAATGTTGTGTTAGTGAGATGAGATATGCATTAGTCTTTTGCCTGCAGTGAGTGTACTTCACAGTGCATCACCACCAGGCCGAAACGCAGATTCCCATTTTATCGAAACAACAACAGCAACTTTATTTATATCCTCTCCACAAGGACTCGGGGAGGTTGACAACAGAATCAAGACACAATTCATACATAAGCAAAAACCAAAAAGACAAGACATAATATATAACCAATGACCATAAACAGAAATTTAAAAAAATATTGTAATAAATAAATAAATACATAAGTTAAAACTGTACTTGGTTTAAAACATATTGCACAAATAAAGCTTGTGGAAAACAAGAATGTCATACTGTGGTTTGAAGTTGGTTTAATATCCTAGTTTATTCTGGAAATATAACCATAATTTCCTGATGTGGGCAACACAGGAAACAGTGGTTAATTAGAGACTACCTGGATTGATTGTCTTTTGCACAAAAGAAAACACAAAGAGGATTTTTATGTAAGGAAAAAGCTTATGAATGTCTTGAAGGAAATGAAGTGTGAAGTCTGCTAAAACTTTAAACTATAAAATATTCAATTCAAGTTATTCCCTATCCAGCCCCTAATAATAAATAATAATAATGTGATTTGTCAACTGGTGTTTAGATAACCCGAAAATTTTGACATTTGTTACTTTGACATGTCAAACTTTGTCATGAACTTCAATCTATCATTTTATTAATGAATACTTTATACAGAAAAAATAAACTGATTTATATCTTACTTTTTATGAAAACAAATTTAATCCTTTCAAATGGTTCTCATTGGTGCTGTCATGACAGTTCTATCTATTACTTGATACTATACGGAATTAAACATTCTTAGTTTCATGTAATTTATGCATAAATTTTCCCATATTATTTGGTAAACAAATCCAGTCTTTCTTCTTTAAAAAAGACAATTGCTGTGTTCATTGACACTGAATGTAAGCTCTTGACTATGTTATGAGACAGGTTATGATGACTAAAGGTGAGCAATCTTCTGTAGTATTGTCTAAGGTTTTCATGGCTGGAATCACTGGGTTGTTGTAGGGTTTTGGGCTGTATGGCCATGTTCTAGAAGCATTCTCTCCTGATGTTTCACCTGCATCTGTGGCAAGCATCCTTAGAGGTTGTGAGGTCTGTCGGAAACTAGGAAAATTGGGTTTATCTGTGGAAAGTCCAGGGTGGGAGAATGAAGTCTTGTCTGTTGGAGGTAGGTGTGAATGTTTCAATTGGCCACCTTGACTAGCATTTGATGGCTTGGCAGTTTTTAGGTGTGACTTGTTACTGTCTGGGAGAATCCTTTGTTGAGAGGTAATTGTTGTTGTTGTTCATTCGTTCAGTCGTCTGGTGTTCCTAATTTTTTCTTGTCTGGAGTTCCCCTGTGTTTGAGTTTTGTTCTTTATT